TCTGCAAGGCTCATTGACTCCCTTCCTTTCTAAGACCGGAAGCCCTTTTATATTGCTCTTAGTTGCCCATCTCTGCTTATCATGCATTTGAGCTCTTGTACACATGCTTTGTCTTTCCCACCCCATGTTAAGTCTGTGGCAGTCAGTACATTTCTCTTTCCCCTTTTCCTCCATAAATCCTTCATGAAATTGGGAACGTGTTACTAAAATGGGATTCCTTTTTCACAGACGACAAAAATGAGCCTAATCAAGATTACAGAATAGTTACGAAGGGTGGGATTTAAGAGGGTTAAGAAATTAAGACTTCTTGTTCCAGCGTCATGCCTTTTTCCTAACTCTGCTTCTCACACATGGAGGCTGTCTCACTAGCCTTAGCAGAGGCTTGTGTGTTGGTAGCCTGAGCCAGTTTCAGCAGGGTTTCCAGACAAAAATGGAAAAGAGTGAAAAGGCTTAGCAATCTACTTCTAAAAATCAGCTAATGAAAATCTTATGGATACACAGTAAGGGACTGATTAAATGTTGTAATTAATTAACGACATCAATCAGTAGTAATTGATGTTATACAACAAAATGTCTATTAAAAAATCTGAGTTTTTTTTTCTAGGAGAGAAACAAAGCCAAGGAAAAGATGGCTGTCATCCTCTCCCATTCTGCTCAGTCCTTCACTTCCAACTTTGCCCTTTCATTCTTTTTTTTTTAATTTTTTTTTATTGGGAAAAACATATTGGGGGTACAAGGAGGTGAGGGTTGGGGGCAGAAGGGTGAGGATGGGCCAGGATACAGTTGCAGAGCTGCACAGTTTGGTCGGTGGGGGGAGCAGGTGAAGGAAATAATGAGGGTCCAGTGGGGACCAGATGCTACAGAGGAATGACAAGCATTTTCCAATAGTAATTAAACCAACTGTCTTATTGATTTGGGAATTGGATGCCGACTCTCTGGCTTCTTCATGCTGAACAGGGCGTAGATATAAAGGGGGGAAGGGAGGACGCTTTATCACCTTACTGGTGGTCTTGGGTTACAGCTGCTTGCCTTCTTGCTCCTGAGGGCCACGACGGTTCGCCCCGAGCCAGGGGCCAAGCGCAGCCCTCCCCGGGCAGAAGGCCACAACGGCTCGCCCCGGACAGAGGGCCGCGATGCCTGAAGTAGTCTTTTTTTTAAAAAGAAGAAGAAAAAGTGTGTGTGTGTGTGTGTGTGTGTGTGTGCCGTCAAATTGGATCTGACTGGTACAGGAAACTGCCCCCCCCCTTCTCCAGCAGAGCATGAAATAGAGTCTGGGGGTTCCCCCCCCCAGGTGCCTGTCGGGGCCTGGGTTTCAGTTGTCCACACCACAGCAGTGGACAACGAGCTTAAAGCCCCTGATGGCTCTGGGCGCTGACTCTCACCAGTGGCTATAGATGAAGTCACAGGCGATTTTCAGCCAGCGCCGGTAAAAATCTGACTTTTAAATACAATTGCCCCATCTGTACTGGAAGAGATCGATATTTGTTCCCATTCCAAAGTAAGGTGACCCAACAGAGCGTGGAAATTATCAAACAATATCATTGATATCACATGCAAGCAAGATTCTGCTGAAAATTATCCAAAAACGTCTGGAACAATATGTCAACAGAGAACTGCCAGATGTGCTGGATTTAGAAGAAGTTGTGGTACTAGGGATATTATAGCTAATGTTAGATGGATTTTGGCAGAAAGCAGAGAATACCAGAAGAATGTCTATCTGTGTGCTTCATTGACTTTGCAAAGACTTTTGACTGTGTGGATCACAACAAGCTATGGCTGTCTCCGAGAAGAATGGGAATCCCAGAACATTTGATTGTGTTAATGTGAAACCTATACTTGGACCAAGAGGCAATCATCAGAACAGAGCAGGGAGACACTGGATGGTTCAAAATCAGGAAAGGGGTGCGCCAGGGATGTATTTTGTCTCCATACATTTCAATCTGTATGCAGAACAGATCATCCGAGACGCTGGGCTATACCAAGAGGAATGTGGCATCAGAGTTGGTAAAAGAATCATCAACAACCTGCATTATGCGGATGACACAACCCTGCTTGCTGAGACTGAGGAAGACCTGAAGCGCTTGCTGCAGAAGGTCAAGGACTGCAGTCTTCAGTATGGATTGAAACTCAACATCTAGAAAACAAAGATTCTCATCATTGGACCAATTGGCAGCATCAGTATGCATGGTGAAGAGATTGAGATAGTTAACAGTTTTTGTTTACTTGGTTCCACAGTCAACACTCTTCGTAACATCAGCCAGGAAATCAGGAGACTAACTGCATTGGGAAAGTCAGCTGTGAGGGACCTCTCAAGAGTACTGAAGAGCAACGATGTCAGGCTGGTGACTAAGGTGCGCCTGATCCAGGTTATCACTTTGCAAGTACGTGCTATGCATCAGAGAGTTGGACAGTGAATAGGGTGGATAGAAAGAGAATAGATGCCTTTCAGCTGTGGTGCTAGAGAAGAGTGTTGAATATACCATGGACTGCTAGGAGAACAAACAGGTTTGTCCTAGAGAGGGTGAAGCCAGAATGCTCCTTGGAGTCAAGGATTCTGAAGCTTCATCTGACATACTTTGGGCATGTTGCAAGGAGGGACTGGTCCTTGGAGAGGGACATCATGTTTGGGAGAGTGGAGGGATGGCGCAGGAGAGGAAGACCCTCAATGAGATGGATGAATTCTCTGAGTGGAGTGGTGGGAATGAGTGTGTTCGAGATGGCTAGGTTGGCACAGGATAGAACGGCGTTTAGAGGTCTTGTACATAGGGTTGCTATGAGTTTCAAGCAACTCGATGGCACATAACAACAATCGACAGAGGGTTAAATGACCCAGGTCTACACCAGCTGGGTCTCTTGTTTCCTCAAGCTGTTGGAGACATCACTCATCAATGTCTTGGCTCACCCTCAGTGATATGTTCCTGAAGTGAGGCCTGCACCAGTGTTCCCAGTGGGAATTATTATTGTTCTCTAGGGATATCTCTGAATAAAGAGATTGCTAGAGATGTGACCAGACAATACTTTGTAAGCCTAGACATTTGCATCTTAAGCAAACTCATTATTTACGTAACTTTGCTTTTAAGTAAATATAGTTAGTACCACCGACACTGCACCAGTGAAATACTGCTTTGTTTAAAAAAAAAAATCTTGTGTGCACCTCTTATTGGAGCACTTACAAACCAATTGTCATCCAAGTGACCTCGCATGTGTTAGAGAATTGTACTCCATAGAGTTTTTCATAGCTGATTTTTAGGAGAGCTCTGGTGATTCATCTGTAGGGAGGAGTGCTGCTAACCTAAAGGTAGCGTCTCTTTGCCAGTTCAAATCCATCAACAGTTTCTTTGGAGAAAAATGAGGCAACCTCCTCCTGTGTGATTTACAGCCTCCCCAAAATTTCCTGGCAGGTCAGCTATGAATCAGTCCCCACTTGATGATAATGAGTCGAATTTTTTTGGAAGTAAGTCACCAAGTCTTTCTTAAGATGTACCTTTGTATAAAAACTCCAACAAGTTGACAGACATGGTAACTATTTATACCACCTGTGGACATGTATTAATTTATAAAGAAAGAGAAAATAAAATGTATCTGTAAATGAAAAAAAAAATAGTTCTGTTTAGGAACCACCAGACATAAATGTCTTTATAATTATCATTCTTCTGGTTGCCTCTTCCCATCTTGTCTTTTTCCCCTTTTGAAACAACATTATTCTCAGCTAACCACCAAAGCTTCTTTTTAAGTCATTAATTTAGAATCTTTTAAAGTAGCATATTTATGAATAATACTTGCATTTTACCGGCATATGGTCCCAAAGGATTGCTAGAGGATTTTATTTATTGAGTTAAATGGTGAAGTCATGATTAGTAATGCACAATATTTGAAAAAATTGCATTAAGATAGCAGTTACCTTGGATATACTGTGCACGGCTTATATAAAAACAGAAAACAAAGAAGTTGTATAAATCAGTGATACAGTGTTGTAATTTAATTTGGCTCAAAAACTCCTTAGGTTTCCCCACCCCTTTTCTCTAAATCATAGAACATTTGGATTCTAAGTAATCATCTGTCTCATTTAATGAAAATGCAAAAGTTACCCACTAGTGTTTTTTACATTTCCTCTTTAATTGTTTTATACCAATGAAGCTCAAGTTGAAAAACAAGGTCATCTTGAGAATTGGTGTTTTCCTGTCATTACTTTTTTTCAACACCCTTCATTTTACACTGCTGGCTAGCTATATCAGCCTTGACAATGGTTACATTTTTTTAACTTTTTAACATTTAATATTTTTCAGTGTAAAAATGTTGTCTGTGATATCATAAATTTTATCTGCTAAGATCACTAGGGCAGGTTGTTGTTATGTGCCATTAAGCTGCCTGCAACCCATAGCGACCCTATGCACAAAAGCTCAGAGACCTTCCCAGTCCTGAGCCAGGCTCACTGACTCTGACACACTAACCCCCATTGCGCCAGTTACTATATTAATCCATCTCATCCAGGGTCTTCCTGTCCTGTGCTGTTCCTCCATCCTTCCAAGTATGATGTCCTTCTCCAAGGATCGGTTCCTTCTGGCCACATGCCCAAAATATGTGAGGTAGAGCTTCAAAATCCTAGCTTCCAAGTTTCATCCTCTTCAAGACAGATCTATTTGTGACCTATTAGGACAGGAGTATCTAGAAAACTGACTGGAGAGGCGGGCAAGTATTTTAAGCATTTCTCTTGTTCCTCATCTTTTCCTGATTCCAATTATTTATGAAAACAGGCATTGGATGAGTCCTCATAAACTCCCCTTAGGGGAAAAAGACAGGAAGTGGATTATAATAATCCAATGGAATGATATGCTTCAATTTGTCATAAATATCTAGAAACTTCACTAAAATGAACCTAACAATAAAAAACTGACCATGGAGATCACAGGCACCACAAACATGTTTGGAACAACCAAATTGTTTTTAATTCAAGCACGACATGAAATAACTCAAAGTTGAGTTATTCCACTTTTGAGGAACTAAAAAGATAGTAAAGCATAGTTGAAAAAAGAGATGCAGATTATGGTCATGCTCGCAATGGGCCCAGCAAACAAAGTTTCTCTGGGTAACAAGTTTTGGTTCTTTAGGAAGGAGAGTTGGCTGAGACAGAAGCCACTGGATGAACTACTACAATTTGGTAGCACTAAGGAAAATTGTCCATTTTTCCTCCATGGACAAGTTAGCTTGATCCAGGTACTAATGTCTGGGTAAATATAAATATCTAGCTTCACTGTTCTCAAGCTTCTGTATTAATTTGAATTATTATATTTAATCAGAGTTTTAATTTTGGGAGAAATTGTTTTTTCTTTAACATGGCCTGTGGACCCTGTATGAGTGGGCACCAGAGAAGGTGGTGGTAAGGAGATTGTAGGTTCTGAAGAGAGTGATGTCTTCTTCAGAGCTTCTGACTGAGTGAGCTTCTGAAGCCATTCTATGACCTCTTTACCCCTTTCTCCTTTCTTTAGAACATCTAAACAATGTATTTTGAAGAATAATTCTGGTTTTCCAGTTCCATCATCTTCTTCTTCAAGACATCAATGTCTTCTTTAACAGAGATGATATTACTAGTCATTGTACATTGTTTGCTTTTGATGAAATTCACTCTGGTTGACAGTGTCATCATCTGTTTCTGGTGAAGGTCATTTTTTCCTTGAATTTTTGTTACTGATATGACAATGTCACCCATTTGTTTGAGGAGTTCAATCTGGAAATTTTTAATATCTTAGAGCATTACTCTAAGATTCATTTCCTCATCAGTGCTAAGGTCATCTTGAGCAAAATCATAGGAAGCCATACTTGGATATACATAAGCCTTTTTTAGGATTGTCTGATCTTAGAAACATGTGAAGTCCACATCTGGCCAGCAGCACATTTTACTTTCTTGGTCTGAAGTTTGTAAGTCTTTCATAATGAAATAAGAGACAAGGTTGCAAAACCTAATCAGAATCACAATGAAAAGCAATATCAGAATTAAAGGGGTCTTTCTCTTAGGTTTTGCTGGCTTTCTTTGTTGGAAACTAGAATGATGACATGTAGACTTCAATATGGAGAACTTTGAAGGTGACAGTAGACATTCTTTGATGGTTATTTTCTTAGAGGACAGGCTGGTTACAAAATTCTGTGGTCAACTGCTTGGAATTTTCAAGTGATGGCTATTGAAGATGATGTCACAATGACTGTTGGTTCAGAATGAAGCCAATCTGGAGACAGCAATTCTCGAACTTTTTGGTCTTAGGGCTCCTATACATTCTTAAATTATTGAAGAAAATAAATAACTTTCACTTACGTGTTTAATATCTATGTATATTCTTTATTAGAAATTAAAATGGAAAATGTTGAAAATATTTATTTAAATGGAAAAATAAGATCATTACATGCTAATAGGAATGGCATAGTTTATGATAATATTTTAGAAATAGAAAAACTGTATTGTTTCTAATATTTGCAAATACATTAAGTATCTGGACTTAAAAATGGCATCTAGATTTTTTATATCTGATCCTGCATTGTATTTCCTGTTATAGATTCATTGCTTAGGGAACTATAGTGGTCTAGTAGTAAAGAGCTATACTGGCTATCAAAGGTGGGCAGGTTCAAATCCTCCAGCTCCTCATGGAAAAAAGATGAGATTCTCCTCCAGAGTAGTTTATAGCCTCTAAGAACCCACTGAAGGGTCAACTATGAGTCAGTTCCAACTTGATGGCACATAAGAACAACATATTGTTTAGGTTGAAGTATGTTAAGAAAAATGAGCTCTTAGATATCTGTCAATAAAGAGATATAAGAAAAAGGGAGGATGAGTATTTTTAAAAACATTTTCAGGTAATTGAATTTCCTCTTTTGATGAACCAGGGGAGTTTGAGAACTGACATCTTTTTTAAAGTTAGTTACTGTGGTGTTAGCTTAAAAGTTGGCTTTTCTAGCCATAATGTTAGTGCACTCTAGTCAACAGCTACCTTAACATCAGGCACGTGGTCTTGCAAATTAAAAACAGCTGTGGAACTAGGCTAAGAGCAAGAGAATGCTTCCCACACTGAGAAGGGAGATCTGAAGCAAAACCGTGCTGAGAGCAAGACTAGTGGTGAGAACCTGGTGATGGACTGTGACATTTCTATAGAGAAACTGTAGCAAGGTGTGACCAGAGGAGCCTTGAGAAAAAGGCCACACACAGTTAAAGGCTTTGCTGTACTTACATGATAATGGAAGGAAAATCTTACTGTTAAGCTGAAACCAAGACTTTTTTTTTATTAAGAAATTGTTTTCCTGTTATTCTGCCTTGGGACTAATGGACTAAATCTAGACTTTCATTGTGAGATAATCTTTCCTTCTCCCACTTCTTAACCTATTTTCCTAGTAAACTCCACTCTTGGTACCACAATTGTGAGTTAAACAGTGAATATTAAAACCAGTGATTGGTGGAAATAGGTGCAGGGCCAGTGAGGTAGTATGTCTGAACAAGCAGTTCCCCTTTATGATGTCATTAGATGCCAGACCCAGACTTGCATAGACCCCCTTTTATAATTGGTGTCAGAATCCCATTTTCTGCTTGTAAGACAATTTTAGTGTACAATTTTAGGCTGTATCAACATCTGTGAACTCTTATACTTTGTTACATTAAAATCCACTATTCTATCTTCTATTTTTAATAGTTTGTTGTGTTTTTTTTTCACCTAGGCATTGTTGTGTACTACTTTCCTCCTTTGAAAATACTGATTCACTAAAGTGTGAATATCTTCTTAGTTCTGACATTTTATTACATAATACCAAATATAATACTCATTCATAAAAGAATGAATGTTGTCATAAAAAATCTTTGAATACTAAAAAGTTGTCAAATGCTAGGAGGCAAATAGGTATTTTTTCAAAAATTTTATTTTAGCTTGAAAAGCTTGATATTTGCCAAGCTTGTTGTTTTCTGATAATTTACTGGATCCTTACATCGATTTTGCCAAAATGTTTGCCAGATGTCCAAATAGTAATAACATAGATTACTGCCAGAAAATGGTGACAAAGAAAAGCAATTAGTTTATTTTATAACTCAAATATTTTTCCTAGAAACATTAATTCTACTTTAGTCAGAAAGAGAAATCATTAATGTGTGTTGCTGGTATTGTTATGTGCCATTGAGTCGCCTGTGACCCAACATGAGCCTGCGTATGGGCAGCTCTGAACCCTGCCCTGTCCTGGACCAGTCTCACTAATTCTGACACACCCACCCCCATAGCCCCAGTCACTATATCAATCCATCTCATCAGGAGTCTTCCTCTCCTGCTCTGTTCCTCTACCCTTCCAAGCATGATGTCCTTCTTCAAGGACCACTATTTCCTGGCCATGTGCCCAAAGTATGTGAGATGGAGCTTAAAAAACCTTGCCTCCAGAGTTCTTGCCAGCAGAAACCTGGTTTTCCCCCTCTCCAAGACAGACCTATTTGTTTTTTTTTGGCAGTCCATGGTATGTTCAAGATTCTTCTACAATACCACAATTCAAAGGCATTGATTGTTCTTCTGTCATCCTTAGTCATTGTCCAATTCTCTGAAGCATAACAATTGTGAAGGCCATGGACTTGATTAGGTACACCTTAATCTCCATACTGACATCATTGCTTTTCAATATGCTGGAGAGGTCCTTGACAGAAGACTTTCCTAGTGCAGCTCATCTTTTGATTTCCTGACTGCTGGTGTTAAGAGTGTTGATGGTGGAGCTGAGCAAACTGTAATTGCTAACAACCTCAATCTCTTCTCCATCTATCATGGTGCTGCCAATTTGCCCAGTGGTGAGAATCTTTGTCTTCTTGATGTTAAGCTTCAATCCATATTGAAGACTATAGTCCTTGACCTTCTGTAGCAAGTGCTTTCAGACCTTCTTCAGTTTCAGCAAGAAAGGTTGTCATCTGCATAATGTAAGTTGTTGATGAGAGTACCTCCAATCCTGATGCCACATTCCTCCTCATAAAGCCCTGCTTCACAAATGATCTGTTCTTCATATAGGTTAAAAAGATATGGAGACAGGATGCATGCTTGAAACACTCCTTTCCTGATTTTGAACCCATGCAGTGTTTCCCTGCTCTGTTCTGAGGACTACTTCCTCTTCTAAATGTAGGTTTCATCTACGCACAATCAAGTGTTCTGGAATTCCCGTTTTCCTCAAGTTTAAACCACAATTTGTGTGATCCACACAGTCAAATGCTTTCGTACATTCAATGAAACACAGATAAACATTCCTCTGGTACACCTTGCTTTCTGCTAAGATCCATATGACATTGGCAATAATGTCTCTAGTGCCACTACCTCTTCTAAATCTCACTTGTATTTCTGGTCATTCTCTGCTAATGTACTACTCCAGTTATTTCTGGATAATCTTCAGCAGGTTTTGCTAGTGTGTGATATTAATGATATTGTTCTATAATTTCCACACTCTGTCAGGTCACCTTTTTTTGAAAGGGAATAAATATTTTCCAGTTAGTTGACCAAGTAGTTGCCCTCCAGATTTCTTGACACAACTTGGTGAGTACATCCAGGGCAGCACCTGTTTGTTGAAATATGTCAGTTGGTATTCCATCAGTTTCTGAAGCTTTATATTTTTAGATAAGTCCTTAAGAGCAGCCTGAGCTTCTTCCTTCATCACCGTTGCCTCTTGATCATATATGTTGTTTCTTGAAATTCTTCTGTATCAGCCACTTCTTTTTGGTACAATGACTTTTTATATTCCTTCCATCTCGTTTCAATGCTTCCTGAATCATTCAATGTTGTGCCCATAGCATCCTTAAGCATAGCAACTCATGGCTTGAATTTGTTCTTTACTTCCTTCAGCTTAATAAATGCTGTGTGAGTTCGGCCCTTTTGATTGTCTGACTTTTAACTCCTTGCACATTTCATTGTAATACTTTGCCTTATCTTCCCGAGCGTCCCATTTGAAATTTCTATTCAGCACCTTAACTTCCTGATTTCTTCCCTTTACTTTGGCTTCTCAGTGCTCTAGTGCAATATTCAGAGTTTCTTCTGACATCTATTTTGATCTTTACTTCTTTTTTTCTTTGTAATTACTTTTTGAATTCTTCATGAATGATATTCTTGATATCTTCCCACAGCTCATCTGGTCTTCGTTCATCAATGTTCAAGGTCTCAAACCTCTTCCTGAGTTGGTTTTTAAATTCAGCGGAGATAGACTCAAGATCAAATTTTGATTCCTGCAGATATGATTTAACCTTCTTTAGCTTTAATTTGAACTTGCATTTAAGTCGTTAATAGTCTGTTCCACCATCAGCACTTGGCCTAGTTTTCACTGATGATATTGGACTTCTCCAGTGATTTCTTCCACAGATGTAATCAATCTGATTCCTGTGCATCCCATCAGGTGAATTCCTTGTGTATAGCCTACGTTTATGTTTCTTATAAAAGGTATTTGCAATGAATAAATCATTGATTGTACAAAATTCTATCATTCTATCTCCCGCCTCATTTCTGTTACCAAGTTCATATTTTCTGACTACTGATCGTTCTTCCTTGTTCCCAATTTTGACATTTCAGTCATCCAGTAATATTAATGCATCTTGGTTACACGTTAGACAGATTTCTGACCGCAACATTTGGTAGAAATCATCTATTTCCTCCTCTTTGGCTCTGGTTTTTGGCAAATAAATGTTAACAATAATGGTATTAACAGATTTTCCTTGTATGTGTATGAATAGAATCCTGTCACAATATTATATTTCAAGATGGATCTAGAAATGACATTTTTAACTATGAAGGTGACCCGATTTTTTCTCACCTTTTCAAATCCAGCATAGTAAGTAGATCATATGATCATCTATTTCAAAATGTCCCATGCCAATCCATCTCATTCCACTAGTACCTAAAATGTCAATATTTATGTGTTTCAGTTCTGTCTTATGGTGACCATAAACATAACAAAAGAAAGCATTACTCAACCCCGCCACACTTTATACTTACTAGAATATTTGAACTTGTTTTGACAGTAACTATTTCCTTCATTCAGTGTAACATTTCTCTAATTTTTGCTGACTCTATTTTACCAAATATAATGTCCATTTCAAAGAATTAGTCTTTCTTGATGATATTTTCAAAGTAGCTTATTCTAAGACTCACTATCCTTACTCTTAAGCATTCCAGCTGTACTTCCTTCAAGACCAAATTGTTTTTTTCTTGGAGTCCATAGTTAATTCAATATTCTTCAACACTACAATTCAATTCACCACTCTTAATATTCCCACTTTCATTGCCCAACTTTCACATGCATATGTGTTTTTGTTGTTGTGTGCCATCAAGTTGGAACTCATCCTTAGTTAACTCTCCAGTGGGTTGGTTGTTTTTTTTTAAGTTTATTTATTTATTAAATTTGGTGTACAGAGGAATTGGATCTGACTGGTACAGGAAGAGTTTGCCCTTCCTTCTCCAGCCGAGAATCTGGTGGATTTGAACTGTGCACCTTTGGGATTGCAGTGCAGCTTCTTGCCACTAGGCCACCAGAGAGAGCTCTGGGTTGGTTTTTTGTGTTTCTTTTAAGGAAAATTTTTATTTTATACTGGTTTACTTATAAAGTTTGTATTTCAGTGAGTTTTAAGAGGCAATAAGTATTTTTAAAAAATATTGGTTTTCATACAACATTTGTATACAATGTGTTTCACATTTTACTTCATTTACATTGTTTCATATGATAATTCCCATACATTGTGTTTTATAAAATTAATCACCATTAAGTTATGTTCACCATTACCCCATCTTTTCAGGTCCCTGCTGGATCTTTCCCATTTTCTCTACTACTTATCTCCACTCACCAAATTGTACTACCCTGTGATTTGACCCATGCCTACACTCACCCCTCTGCTCTCACCTCTTCCGCCCCTTGAACGCCCATATACATTTTACTTGTTATCTTTCTATTTCTACAATAATGGGCTTATGCAGTATTTGTCTTCTGAGACTGAATTAGTTCACTCAGCATAATGCTTTCCAGTCTCTCCAAAGTTATATAGTAATTTTTTTAAATCATTGCTTCTGACTGTTGCATAGTATTCTATCATGTGAATGTATCACCGCTTCTCAATCCATTTGATTGCAGTTGGACATTTGAGCATCCCATGTTCTTGCAATGGTGAATAGTGCTGCTGTGAACATTGGTGGACAAATATCTGTTTGTATCTCAGTTCTAATTTCCTTGGGGTATAATTCCTAGCAGTGGAATAGCTCGATCATATGGAATTTCCATGTTCAGCTTTTTGAGGAAATGCCAAACTACCTTCCAGAGTGGTTGTACCATTTTAAAATCCCAGCAATAGTGCATGAGCATTCCAATCTCTCCACATTCTCTCCAAAGTTTATTGCTTGTGTCCTATTAAACTTTGCCACTCCTGCTGGGACTAGATGGTATCTTATTGTGGTTTTGATTTGCATTTCTCTTATTACCAGTGCTTTTGACCATTTGTCCACGTATCTATTGGTCATCCGAACGTTTTCCTCTGTGAAAAGTCTTTTCATGGTTTTTCTTGGCATTTTGTAATCTGATAATCTGTCTTTTTCTTCTGGAGACACTACAATATTCTGTGAACTTTTATTATGAGACTCTATCTGAGATTGTTCTGCCAAATACTTTTTCCCAGTCAGTAGGTTTTCTTTTCACCCTATTGGGGAAAGTTTCTGATGCACACAGGCATTTAATTTTTCAAAGATCCTATTTGTCCTCTCTTGTTTGCGTATTTCAGGTTGTATTTGTCAGCTTCTTTGTATCTTAGGCTAGGCCTTCTAAGCTTGGTCCCATTTTGTCTCTGATGATCTTTATGGTCTTGGGCTTTACCCCTAGGTCTCTGGTCCACTTTGGGTTTATTTTTATATATGGTGTGAGTTTTGGATCCTGCTTCAGGTTTCTGTAGGTGGCAGTCCAGTTTTTCCAGCACCATTTTTTTTTTTTACGAGCTTGTCGTTTCCCTATTTGATAGGTTTTATTTCCCTGTCAAATATCAATTGGCCATACCTTTTTAATCTGTATGCAGAACAGGTCATCTGAGACGCTGGGCTGTACGAGGAGGAATGTGGCATCGGGATTGGTGGAAGAATCATCGACAACCTGCATTATGCAGATGACACAACCCTGCTCGCTGAAACTGAGGAAGACCTGAAGCGCTTGCTGCAGAAGGTCAAGGACTGCAGTCTTCGATATGGATTGAAGCTCAATATCAAGAAAACAAAGATTCTCACCACTGGGCCAATTGGTGGCCAGTATGGATGGTGAAGAGATTGAGATAGTTAACAGTTTTAGTTTGCTTGGCTCCACAATCAACACTCTTGGTAACAGCAGCCAGGAAATCAGGAGATGAATTGCATTGGGAAAGTCAGCTGTGAGAGACCTCTCAAGAGTACTGAAGGGCAATGATGTCAGGCTGGAGACTAAGGTGCGCTGAATCCAGGTTATAGTCTTTGCAATTACATGCTATGCATCAGAGAGTTGGACAGTGAATAGGGATGATAGAAAGAGAATTGATGCCTTTGAGTTGTGGTGCTGGAGAAGAGTGTTGAATATACCATGGACTGCTAGGAGAACAAACTGGTTTGTCCTGGAGAGGGTGAAGCCAGAATGTTCCCTGGAGTCAAGGATTCTGAAGCTTCGTCTGACATACTTTGGGCATGTTGCAAGGAGGGACTGGTCCTTGGAGAGGGAGTGGAGGGACGGCGCAGAAGAGGAAGACCCTTGATGAGATAGATGGACCTAATTGTTTCCTTAGCAGTCCATGGTATATCCAAGACTCTTCTCCAGCACCATAATTCAAAGGCATCAGTTCTTCTTCTGTCATTCTTAGTCATTGACCAGGTCTCTGATACATAGCAAGTAATTGCAAAGATCATGGGCCGGCTCAGAAGATGGAAAATCGATGCCTGTGAATTATGGGGCTTGAGGAGAATATTGAATATACCATGGACTGTTGGGAGAACAAACAGGTCTTTCCTGGAGAGGATGAATCCAGGCTGATCTTTGGAGGCAAGAATTCTGAAGCTTCATCTTACATACTGTGGGCATATTTCAAGGAGGGACCAGATTTTGTAGAGGGACATCATGCGGCCTGAATGTACTCTTCTAGCCATTTGAACATGATCTTTTCAAAAATTTTGCTTGCAAAGGAAGATGGAAAATGGCTGACCTGAGCATCGGATGGAGTTTGCTGTCTCACAGCCTGCCTTCAGATAACCTTGGTTTGAGTCCTTGTCCTACTGCTTTTATTATTTTTTCAACCTTGAGTGGGTTTGTTCACCATTCTGGAGGCCCCTTATCCATTTGTGGAATGGTAAAGTAATAATTCTTACTTTGGGTTACAATTAGACCACTTGTTGGAGAGGAAGGGGACAATGATGGAGGTGCTAGAGCCAGAGTTCTGTTCCTGGTGGGCCGGCCACAGTCCCCCATAAGGTGCAAGGTCTAGACTTCAGAAGAGCTTGTGGGGTGGGGCATGGAGTGTCACCCAGATTTTGGGGCGTTCCACCTGGCCCCTGGAGAGTGCTGCCTGATGAGTACGGGGAACTTTATCTAAGCCACTTTTCTCCATCTCCTCCTCCAGTACACCTGTGAATAATACCTCCAAAGCTCTTTTCTTTGTAACTCACAAGTTTGTTCTATCTAGGCTTGATCCCTTTCGTATAGATAACCTGAACACTGAATCTTGTTCCAGAACCTGAACCCTGAGCCTGGTTCCAGAGACAAAAGGGAAATAGAACTGCCAGCAAAGGAAGCAAAGGTGGATGGAGCCTCCAAGTTCAGCCAGCCGCTTCCTCTGGTCTCACCCATACAAATACCTTGCAGCCAGAGGGCGGAAAATGTCCTGAAAATAACTTCTAACTGAACAAGAAGCGTACAGATTCAACTCAAGACCACGCCGTCCCCTTTTCCTTATGACTAAGGGTGAAGTCTCTCTCAGGGAGGAGTGATAGGGAATGGCAAAGGATACACTGACAAAGAAGATTAATCAGAACTGGCTTTGACAAACACTGTGGCATTTGGACAAGAACAAACTGGGAGGAGGGTAGAGAGAATAGTGCAACAATGAATGAGTGGAAGCCCAAAATCTCTGTAAATGTTTATGAAAATTAATAAAATATAATTATAATTTAAAAAAAAAGACCACCAGTAAAGTGTTAAAGTGGGCTCCCCTTCCCCTTAATCTCAACACCCCTGTTCAGCATGAAGCAGCCAGAGTCTATGCTTCTACTCTCAGATGGAAAACCCATAAATAAAAAAAGACAATGTCTTTGTAAAAAAAAAAAGTTAATCATCATTGGATTATGCCCACCATTACTCTATCTTTTCCAGTCCCTGCCAGATCTTTCTTATTTTCTTTGCCCACACTCTCTCCACCTATCAAATTATGTAATCCTGTGATTTCATTCCTACCCATCCTCACCCTTCTGCTCCCAACCTACTTTACCCCCTTGGATCTCCATATATGTATGTATGTATGTATGTATGTATGTATGTATGTATGTGTATATAAATATAACAGTGGTATAGTATTGGAAAATTTATTTTCTTTCTTTTTACTGACAATTTATTTTCTTTTTACTGGCATCTGAAAAGATAAATCCATCTAATAGTTCATAATGTGACCTTATTTATTTACTTAAAATTATTTTTAATTGGCCCTTACTTATACCTATTCAATCTGTATGCTGAGCAAATTATTTGAGAAGTTGGACTTTATGAAGAAGAATGAAGCATCAAGATTGGAGGAAGACTTATCAACAATCTGTGTTAAGTGAATTATACATTACTTGCTTGAAACTAAGAGGACTTGAAACATTTGCTGCAGAAGATCAAAGATATAACCTTCAATATGGATTATATCTCAAGAGACAAATATCCTTACCACTTGATCTGTTGGCAACATTGTGATAGATGGAGAAAAGGTTGAAGTTGTCAATGATCCCATCTTACTTGGATCTACAATCAATACTCCTAATAGCATAAGTCAAGAAATCAAGACATATTGCATTGGGATGCAATATTCTGTCACAAACCTCTCTGAAGTGCTAAAGAGCAGTGACATCAGTTTAAAGAATAAGATGCATGTGATCCAGGCAATGGTCTTTTTAATCACTTCCTATGCATATGAAAGTCGGACAAGGATGACAGAAAAAGAAAGGTGACTTTGAGTCGTGCTGTTGAAGAAGAGTTCTGAATATGCCAGAGACTGACAAAACAACAAATATGTCTTGGAGAAAGTACAACCAGATGCTCTTTGGAAGTAAAGATGGTGAAATTTTATTTCAGATACTTTGTATATATTGTTAGGAGAGGCTAGTCTTTGTCATAGACATCCTTCTAGAATTGATGGAAGGTCAGTTGAGGAGAGGAAGTTTTTTAACAAGTTGGATTCACACTATCAATGGGCTTAAGTATATCAGATCTGTTACTTGTAGAGTTGTATGAGTTGTAACTGGTTCCGTGGCACCTAACAACAACAACAATTTTTATTTGATCTTAACTTTACTGTTTGGAGACATAAATTATAGTTAATAAGCATAAACACTTTGGAATACAAATGACTTTAATTTGACAGTACTAGCTCATCAGTGATATGTGGGATTTTCCTTTATTTCTCTGCCATTGAATTGGTTTTTAGAAACATTTCCAAAATACTTAGTAAACCTCAGTAAGGATTGGTTTACCCACCAGCCTGGTGCCTATGAAATATTCAAGGCCCTATAAAAATAACTGAGACTTGAAAGAAAAAAAGCTCATAATATTAAAAGACTGAAACACTAAATGTTTAATTAAATGTCTTTATTATTATATCATCTTCATAAATGTTAAATTTAACATTATTAAGATTTAATTGCATTTATGGGCAATTTGTAGATTAGATATTCTCGCTTGGCAAGAATTCTCAGTTAAATTAAATACATTGCTAGTAGCTATCATTCCCTGGAGATTGCTTAAGCTTACTGGGTGCACATCAGACTCTCTTCTAAACATTAGCTTATTTAACTCAACTTCCCAGAAGTGAAGAACTTTTTTACAAGGTAGTTCAGTTGAAAATGGGTTAGGTTTGATTTTCTTATTATTGCATTCTGGCTCCAGAGTTCTTGTCCTTAACTTCTACTGCCACATAATCATGATAATACATGTAATAACTATTTATGACAACTTATAAAGAGAACATTTCCCTATTTTGGATAAAAATGATTCTATATACTTATAGAAGATATTTCTTTTTAAATTGTTTGCTAACTTAAAGATACTAAAGATAATGTTGGTTATTTAATTTACCAGAGTTGTATGGGTTATATCTAAACATTAAGAAAACAAAAATCCTTCCTACTGGACCAATGAACATCATCATAATAGAGAAAAGACTGACATTGTCAAGAATTTTGGTTTTTTTTTTTTACTAGGTTCCACAATCAACCCATGAAGACATAATGACAACAGAGGTCATGAAATCAAAAGATAGGTGGCAGGG